CGCATAACCACGCCCACTCATTGTCAAACACTAGCGGATATTTGCATTGCTCATCTGCATAGCCCCGCCCACCCGGCGGCGGCCCCGCCCACGAGGCGCGGGGCGGGCGCGCAGTCGGCGGCGGCCATGGCTCCGAGCGCGCAGGCGGGGGGCGGCCGCGGGCAGGCCCCGACCGCGGGGATCCGCCACGGCATCCGCGCCGTGCTGCTGGGCCCGCCCGGAGCCGGCAAGGGCACGCAGGTGAGGGGGATGCGGCGGGGGTTGTGCCGGGATAAACCGCTGGGACCGGGCCGCCCGGCTTTCCCCGCGGCCGGCCCTCAGCGTGTGGAGCGGTGAGGGTGTCCGGCCTGCCGCTCCCCGCCGCGGGTCGGGGTGTGCGGTGTGTGTTCGTGTGGTTCCGGGGCTGCTTTCCGCCGGCAGCTCGGTCGTGTCCCGCCTCCTGGGGCCGGCTTGCCGGGGTTCTTTGTCCCGGATCGCTTTGTCCCGGGTTAGGGCTGGCCGCGGGGAGCCGGTGGCCCGGTCCTGCTCGCTGAGCACCGGGGCCCTGCCACGTGCTGGCCGGTCAACGACTGTCCCTTGCTGCGGGAGGGGTACAAAGCCTTGCCGAGGCGGGGATCCTCAGCTTTGAAGGTCCGATCTCAACTCTGTCCTCTCCCGCAGGCTCCGAAGCTGGCCGAGACCTACTGCGTGTGCCACCTGGCTACCGGCGACATGCTGCGGGCCATGGTGGCCTCGGGCTCCGAGCTGGGCAAGCGGCTCAAGGAGACGATGGATGCGGGGAAACTGGTGGGTCACAGGGAATGTGTTGGGAGGGAAGATGGGCTGGCAGCATCAGGAAGGAGAGCAGGCAAAATCCACCTCGTAATTAGAATTCTTCGTGACAAAATTAATTAGTGTAGGAAGGCAGATTGCAGGGTGAAGGCAGATTGTAGGGTGAGGGCAGATTGCAGGGTGAAGGCAGATTGTAGGGTGAAGGTAGGGATGAGATGAGGGTTTTCCTCCTATCACCCTGCAGGAGACGCATCCTATAAAAACATCCTTCCTCTTCAAAATTACTGTTTGCTTCCCAGCAGCCTGTGGCCCCGGGTTGTTTTTATCTTTTTAGGGGGTGCAGTCAGGCTGGCAGTTTTCCAGCTCCCCAACACTGAGGTGAAGGCGTAACCTTGGAGCTGCAGGATGTTCCAGCCGTGCTTTGYAGCTCCTGTCTCTGTTCACGTGATACCTGAACTCCAGGTATCACTTCAGAGGGTTCATTTGCATCCCAGCTCTGGCATAACCTCGATACACCTGTAACTAGAAGGTGAAAATAGAYTTAAAGGTGTTGCTGTGGTAGTTATAGCAGCTGCTGTGTGAAAGAGACACTTTGGATCCTCAGGAGACACAAGTTAGAATCTGTGACATTCATTTTCTGAGGGTCTAATTATCTCATCCAAATGACTGAAATATCTCGGGGAAACTTGAGGGACCGCAAATTGCAGTGACTTGCCCCAAAGTGGGGCAGATCTCGGGCATCGCTGTGGCTGCCACGGGCTCGTAACACCCCAGGGGTGAATCTGCAGGCCCCAGATGGGGAGAGCAACCTTATCTCAYTTCTGCTGGGAGCTCATTGCAACACCGAGCCTGCAACACCCAGCTGGTTATGAAAGATAGGAACGTTATCTGGCCAGGCTGGTGGTATCTGCCACGTGTGTGTGTGTGGCAGGCAGCTCCAGGCTGCTCCACAGGGACATCCCACAGCGTTCTCTGGCTCTGTGATAACTCAGTTTCAGGATGGTGTTCATGCTCAGGATCTCTTTTTTTTCCAGTGGGTGTAATCAGAAAAGCACAGACTTGTTGCTTCCCCCCATCTGCCTGTGGGGCTGTTTGTTGTGACAGCTCGGTCCCCAATTCTGCTGGGTCCCAGCTGGAGAAAACAGCTCTGCTGGGGAGAGCTGATCCCAAATAAATAGTTATTGTTGGGGCTGCAGCATCCATAAGCACTGCAGTGTGGAAAAGGCACGAATCCCACTGGAATGCTGAGATAGTTTGATGGGGAAAAACTGTCCAGTGAATCCAGAGCTTGTCAGCAACTACTGGGGCCTTTACCTTTCACACAAAGTTTATGGGAGTCAATGAGCAACTCTGCCCTTCCTGCCCGGGCCTGCCTCCCGAGGGGGATGTGTGGGTACAAAGTAACAGGTAATCAAGGTTATGTTGATATTTTCCAATGTGAATTAGTTCTAAAAAAAGTAATAATGTAAGGAGTTTGAGCTGACAGTGTTGCTTTGCAATGCAACAACCTTTGTAACAAAGTGCTGGTCCAAGTTCCCTGCACAGGCTGGGGTGTCCCAGGAGTGAAATGTGGCATTGCCAATGTGCTGGTGTTGCAGGGAGTGTTCCCCTGATCTGGACAGGTCTCAACAGGCAACTTTCACCCTGTTAACAGCAGTGGCTGCTGGCACCAGGAAATGGCTGTAAAAAGGTCTTGAAGCAGCCTGAGCATTGACATGAATCGTGGAATCATAGAATATGGAGTTGGAAAGGAGGGTTATGGAGTCCCCAAAAATCCCAGCCCGTGCACGAGGGCTGTGTGTGAATTTGGGGTGTCCCTCCTGACCACACACCCGCCTCCCCTCTGCAGGTGAGCGATGAGATGGTGGTGGAGCTGATTGAGAACAACCTGGACTCTCCACCCTGCAAGAACGGCTTCCTCCTGGACGGCTTCCCCCGCACGGTGAAACAGGCAGAGATGGTACGTGAGCTCCTGTTCAGGGGCTGCTGCAGCTCCTCCTTCCCTGCAAACCAGGGCTCCCTGCTCCCTCGGCCCCTCTGAGGTGCTGTTTGCTCTTGCAGCTGGATGAGCTCCTGGAGAAGAGGCGAGAGAAGCTCGACTCTGTCATTGAGTTCAGCATCCCTGACTCCTTGTTGATCCGGAGGATCACTGGACGGTAATCCCAAATCCTTCTCCCCCAGTCCTTCTCCCCCMRTCCTTCTCCCCCAATCCTTTTCCCCCAATCCACCCCAATCCTTCTCCCCCAATCCTCCTCTCTCAGTGCACAAGTTGAGGTTTCATAGTCTAAGGAAGAACATCCTAATTTCAGATTCCATGTTGTCCTCATGGTGCTTAGATCCCAGCAGTGGTSCTGGTCTCTATGAGATTCCTGCCCTGATCCCTCTCCTGTTCTCCCATTCCTGGCCAGCCTTGAGCAGAGCCCTTTCCTTGCCCTATAATTTTAGGGCTTGCTGTAGAAATCAGCATCCTTGGTGCCTCATCTCATCCTTTCAGTTTCTCCTTCTCCAAAGCTATTTTTGCTCCCTTGCACAGCACACTGAATATATTTGGGCACCAGTGAACTTCCCCCAGGGTCAGGAGTGCGTTCTGTTGTGCTGTGGTCCAAACCCCTTTCCCAGCAGAGCAGGAAGTAAAACTCCCCTTCT